TACACAGGCTCGCTATGGGTCAGAATTGACTAGATGGCAACTAACAACAATAACAACAAGCTAACCACCAAGTCAGCGGTTCAAACCCACCAGCTGCGAGTACTAGAAACCTGAGACTCCCACTGTTTCCACCAGCTTCACATTCTGTGATCACAGGCAAATTATACCCTAAACTCCACCAATTTTTCTTTTGACAAAACTGAGACAATGAGTCCAGCTCTATGTCATCCGTCTATTGTGTTATCAGTATAGTCTCAATTCCTGAATGACATCCTCTGGGAATAGAGTAACAAGTGCCACCTTGGACTTGGCCAAGGAGAAAGCGAGGAGCAGAAGAAAGAAGAAATGGGAAGAAGCAAGGTGCAGGGTAGTGGGCCAGCAGAGGCTTGTGCTACAGAAGGTGTGTGAGTGCTACAAGTCGGGTCTGGAGGCCTACTTCAGTGCAAGGAAGCCAAGCCCATGGAACTGCACAGAGGAACAATGCATTCCATTGGAATCAGTGAGAGAGGATGGAAAACTCAGGCTCCAAAATGCAAGGGGAACAACCCTTAAATATCATGGAAGCCAAGATCCACTGGCGTATTACACGACCAGACATTATGTGATTAGAAACCCAGGAGTAGAAACAGCTGCCTCTCGATTCTAGTGGACCTTCCCATCCTTTAACCACCAGAGTCAAGACAGTCTGACCAAGTCTGTTGGGCACAGGACTGGCAGGTCAAATCTTGTAATACTCTGTCTAGGATTCCTGAAGCCCTTTCTGTCTCTGCCTAAAGGACCCTAGTGATACTTCTCTAAGCTGTGCGTGTGTGCGCGCACACCTCCTTGGCTGATTCAGTTTTCCAGCCTGGAAAGTACTTCCAATCTCGGCAGGAAGCACATCACTTGCATAGCAGGGACCTCCTCATCAAGATACAAGGTGCAAGCACATGGCCTCTCCTCACTCCGCGGTAGCTTGCCTGTGGATTTTTAAACCTGGTGACCCCTGCTAAGAACACAGTGATCAGATCAGGGAGAACTCTAAAGTGTGATCTTGCATCAAAACTGTGAGCTTTAGCAGCTTAAGAAGTTCTACACTAGCTTCTCAAACTATGCCACAACTGGCTACATTGAATCCTGGGACGATCTCACACTGCAGGGTTTTTCTCTAAAGCATTTAGTGTGATCAAAAGGAATCCTCTCCGAATGAAAAGGAGTTGTATAATTATCTCTACATCTGCCCTTCCTTTTGCTTCCTAATTGGCTTGAATCCCATACATTTCTACTGGAGAGAGATCTTTGAAAAGGGACAGTGGTTTGCCTGTTTACCAATTGTGGGAGTCCCCAAGAGTGTGTGGCCACATTAAGAGAACATAAGGAAGGGCAGGGGGAAAAAGCTGGTTATAGGATACATCTGCCTATTCCTCTTTCTGAAACATGAAGAATTCCTGATTGGCCCTGAGTTAGTTAATTGTGCCAGCCTGGCCGATAATCACATGTGGGTCTGGTTGAAAGGCGGAGGGATAAATGGGTGGTGAAGCCTCGCCTTTCTAGTTCTCGGGTCTCTTGTTTTGTGATGGTTGCATCGGGTGCAGCTGCCTTAGCAGTTCCCTGCTTCAGCTTGCAAGATGGATTTCCTACAAGACATCCCCAAGGAGAAGCCGCATGGATCTATCCCGATGCAGCCCTGGGTGCTGGAGCAGCCATGTGGAGACCCCTGCCTGTGCTGAGATGCTTACACGTTCACTGACTCAGCTTTCCTCCTGCAGTCGGCATTATTGCCTCTGTTTTGTGAGGTGAAGGACTTTGTGGACTGGTGTTGGGTATGGGTTAATGTTGGACTTGTGGGCTTGGGCAGCATTGGGTTGGGATGTTTTTGTGATGCACATTTTCTTTGCATAAAACTCTCTCATATGTGAGTTGCTGTGGATTTGTTTCTCCAAAGTACCTAGACTAATAGAGGCCCCATCTCCATCTGTCTATTCTCTTGCCACCCTGTCTGTACAAGAAATTAAGTTACAACAGCACCCCAACATCAGAATAAGTAACAAACACCTGGTGGGTGGTTGCTTAAGAACACTCCTGGCAGCTCGAGGAAGCCCAGCATCCATCCTCCCAGAGGGGTGTCCCTAGGGCCTGTTGCTGAGAGTAATTTATCTGGAGCTATCCCTGGAAGGCTGATAACATTTGGTCAAGAAGCCCTGAAGGAAACCCAACCTGTTTTATCACCTCCACTATACCACGCTGCCCTGTGCCACCATCATCTTGTGCCCAGTTTCTGCTGCAGCCTGCTACCCAGTCTGCTTACTTCCATTCTTTACTTTGCTGTTGCTGCTCAGTGTGTACACAGCAACATGTTCCCCAATTCAAGTTTCCATATGTACTGTTCAGCGACAGATACGGAGTGCATTCCTCCAGCTGTGTCATCTTTCGCACTCTCCTTTCCTGGGTTCTTTTCCCCCGTACTATAAACTCATTGCTTCCTAAAGTTCCTAGGTCATCTTTTGAGTTGCTGTTAGCAGTTTGATCCAATATAAATAGTTCTTGAAAGAGCAGACATGCTTTATTAGTTCAAGAAAACATTTGGTTTTAAGAAGACTTCATGGAATATTGTTGCTTCCACCCTTGACCTCCTCAACCCAGCAGTCAAGGTCAACTCACTTTTTTTTTAACAGTCAACTAACATTTGAGTCCTTCCTATGCTAGAAAGACCCTCGGTGGCACAGTTTGTTACATATTAGGCTGTTAGCCGCAAGGTCAGCTGTTCAAACCCACCAGATGCTCCCCAATGAGGCTGTCTGCTCCCATAAAGATTTATAGTCTTGGAAACTCAATGAAACAATTCTACTCAGTCCTTCAGGGTGAGGATGCACTTGACAGCACTGGGTATAGAAGAAATGTACTGGTGTATAAGAAAGACAAATATAAATATGACACAGTTCTACCTTTTATAACAATTTAGCATAGCTGTACCACCATCTTAACTGCATTTAAATCGCATTTTACAAAACAAACTGGTCTGTCACACTGCTAATGTGAGAGGCACCAATGTCAAGCTTTGAGGCTGGCATATAGACTTGGACTTTTATTCTGCATGAAAGACAATTGCCTTGCGGGGCTTAAGCAAGGGAGTAATATGATCTGCAGCGTGCAATGAGGATGTCATTGACCCAGCACTTCATTCTAGCAACACGAAGAGTGGGACTCCCTGTGGTCCAGCCCAGGGTCCACATTTGGGTTAGGAATGGGGAACTCTCGCTGAGGAAGCAGAGAGGTGGCTTCCAGGCCCACCCTCGTTCTGGAGCGTCTTTCTCTGAATCTGGCTGGTCAGGGAGGAGAGGGTTGGCCCAGATGGGGCAGAACTGATCTGAGAACGAGGAGCAGCAGTCTCCTTAGCAGAACCTCCTCCTGGTCAGACTTGGTTCCTCTTAAAGAGCCTGGCGGCAAAGGCGGCAGTCAGGTTAGGTGGTCCTTGCTTGTTCCTTCCTCGCTGTGCCGGAGATGACACGTGTCTGCTCATTCTTCTCTCACCTGCTCCTCTCAGTCACTGGCTGGCTGCCTGGCTGGCTGTTGGTCTGCATTTCCCTTGATGTCTCTCGTGCTTTGTCACTTTGTCATGCCACGCCCCCATCATCTACCTCCTCTCATTCCCACTGCCAGCACTGCTCTCAGGCACATGCTGCCCACTCTGTCCTGAGCCTCTGGCTCTCACACCATCTTGCACTCTCTTTCACCTGCTCTCCATACTGTCCTGTTACGTCCATCTCTCCCTGTAGCCCCAGTTTCCCTGTCTCCCTCCCCCTCAGGTCCTTTTGGTCTCTTCCCCTTTGAGCAGCTGAACACAACCACGCTGGACCTAGAGGAGAGGCAGCAGATCCGTTACCCAGTGAGACTTGCCTGTCCTCTACTGCACAGAGCCATGGGTGCTGGGTCAAGGTGCCTCTGTTCTTCCTCACAGAGTAACGAACATGCGACTGGTTCCTGGAACACTGGGGTCTATTCTAGCTGGGGTGGGCAGAGACTGGATCAAAGTGTTCAGATTAGGGGCAAAGCAAGGTGAGGTCCCTCTCTGTAGAACAGAGTGGAACCGCTCCATAGGGTTTCAGAGGCTGTAAATGTTTATATATGCAGAATGCTTCACCTTTCTCGCATGGGTTGGTGGTGGGTTTGAATCATCAATCTTTTGGTTAGTAGCCCAACACTTAACTCGTGGTGCCACCAGAGCTCCTTGTAGAAGGGTCAGTGGCAAGTAAAGAGCAAGACAATGATTCAAGAGTGGACAGAGAAAAAGCCACCCAAGAGAAGCTCAACACACTAAATGAAAATCTTCCCCATCTCTTTGGACAACTGGGGGTTTGGGGACATAAGTGAGGGCTGGGGGAGTGGAAACTTTAACAGTGACCAGCGGAGTCCAGCACAGCTCACCTGGGACCCAGCTGTCCACAGCATAGCATCTGCCTTGTGGCCTCAAAGCTGCTTCTTCTGGGGAAGGATCTCATGAGCCTGAGGAGGCAGCCAGGCTTGGGAAGAAAATTGCAGGCTTGGAGGGCAGTTTCCACATAACAATCACAAGGCAAGGATCCTCAACAGGGCCAGGGCTGGCAGTGTCAACCTGGGAACTTGTCAGAAATAAAAATGCTTAACAACAGAAACGGAGAGTGTGGCCTCTAGATGAGACCCAGTTTGAGAATCATCATCCCCATCAAACTTAATGAGATATGCCTTTGGCCTGATGCCTCTTGTCAAAATAGTTTTAACTTTTCCTTTCATTTGAGAAAAAAACGTGCGCATCATGAAAGGTAATTTAATATGAATATAAGCTGGGGGGGGGGCTTGCATAGCCCCACTACCCATAACCAGCTGCTATCAAGCCTGTGCCAACTCAAGTCTACTCCTGCGTCAGAATAAGACTGTGCTCCGGGGGGTTTTCAATAGCTGGGTTTTTTTAAAGTTTTTACATTGAGTTTTTATTGTGTCCACATATGTTCATAATTATATATCCACTGTGGCAACTGTCTGCCAATGATCAGGTCACTGAGAAAATTTGTGAAAGGCTTCAGACTATTGTGTTATTTTCTCATTTCTCGACAACACTATTCAGTAACCCAGTGTTCTCTACTTGCTCATGAAACTTGCTGTTACTAACCACTTCTGCAATATGATAGGGTATCTGAGCTTTTTAAAAAAAAAATCATTTTGTTGGGGATTCGTATATATCACAATCCATTCATCCATCCATTGTGTCAAGAATATCTGTACATTTGTTGCCCTCATCATTCTCCAAATATTTGCTTTCTACTTGAGCTTGGTATCAATAGCTGATTTTTAAAAATCATTTTATTGGGGGTTTGTACAACTCTTATCACAATCCATACATATACAAAGGTGTTGAGCACATTTGTACATCTGTTGCCATCATCACTTAATAGCTGATTTTTTTAAAGCAAATTTATTTAATTTTTAAAAATCATTTTATTGGGAGCGCTCACAGGTATCATCAAGTTCCCCAGTTCAATCACATCCAGCAGTGTTGTACAATGACTACCATAATCTGTTTCAAAACATTTTCTTTCTTCTTGAATTCCTTGATAACAGCTCCCCTTTATCCCCTCCCTCCCCATCATGCTCCCCAGGAACCTTTATTCCTTTTGTTGGTTTGTTTTCCATAAGTTGTTGGGGGTTCTTTTTGCCATATCTTACACAATCCAATACATCCATTCCCATACAATTCTGTTGTTGCAGCCCATCGAGTAGGGTTATGCAGTCCTCAATTCAATAGCTGATTTTTGGAGAAGTAAAATCATCAAGCCTTTTTTCTAAGGGGCTGCTAAGTGGACTCTAAATTTTTGGTCAGCAGCCAAACACCTTCACAGTTCACACCACCCAGGGACTCCAGAAAGAGGACCACGGTACTCTTCACACCAGACTACCTCTATTCTTCCTTCAGACAAAAATAATGTACTCTTCCTCGAATTCCCACCTCCAAGAAGTCCACAAGTGAAATGATTCATTTTTATGACTTAGCAATTGAACTTCCAAAAAAACACTGAGGTGTGCAGCTCTTGGGAAAGTCATAACACACATGATCTGTGAGCAACCTGGGGGCCAAGTGTACAGTCAAAAACCTGTGTAATTTAGATTGACCCCAAAACAGCATGGGGTCAAACTTACAAAGAGCCTTGGTAGTATAGTGGGCTATGCATTGAATGGCTAACCACAAAGTAAGTGGGTTCAAACCTACCAGTTGCTCCATGGGAGAAAGATGAGGCTGTCTGCTCGGATAAAGATTGACAGGCTCACACTCAAAGAGGCAGTTCAACCCAGTCCAACAGGAGTCGGACTCAACTCGATGACAGTGAGGGAGGGGCTGAGGGAGGCGCACTGACACGTGTATTTTGTCCTGTTATCCAGTGAGGTCAAGTGTTGCTCTTATCTACTGAAAACTATGCGACGCTCTGGAGAGACCCCTGCTCGCACGGCGAAGATGAGCATCTCGCAATGCTTTAAGAGGTTACAGGAAAACACTTGAGCTCGCCACAATAGCAAGGTCAAAGTCCACGTATAATTCTGAACTTGAAGTTCAAACCCACGTGGCTCAAGAGTCAACTGTATTTTCTGCAGCTAAGGGGCTGACTCCAGTTCAGCCCTCTGTCTCTAATAGGATTAATGTGTCTCACCTGTCTCAGGTTGGGGAAAAGGTTCTTTTGCTTCCACCTGCCTGCTCTTGAGTGTGCGCTCCGTGACATCCTCTCAGTTCACCTCTCTGAATGAACCTCTAGCTCCAGGTGAAAGGTCAGTGGTTCTCTGGCTTCTCCTAAGGGACTTGCCTTCTCAAGTCCTCTCTAGCCCTGGGAACAGACCCGCAGTAACATCACTACAAATCCCTGCCTAAACTGGACTGTCGCAGTTGTTGGTTGCCCTTGAATCGATTCCAACTCAGGGTGACCCGGGGTGTGCAGAGTAGAACTGTGCTCCACTGGGTTTCCAAGGCTGCGACCTTTCAGAAGCAGATCAGGCTGGTGTTCCAAGGTGCCTCTGGGTGGCCATGAACCCCAGTCTTTCAGCTAGTAGTACAGTGCTCAACTGGAAAGGGCCATTCAGGAACTCAAAAGCTGGACTTTACACCCCCTAAAAAGGACTTGAAACATAGGAAAGCTGAAGAAAAATATTCTTTCTTTGAAGAACATTTAAGTCGGGGATGGGAACCTTTTTTTCTGCCAAGGGCCATTTGGATATTTATGACATTGTTCATGGACCTCCAAAAAAATCAACTTTAAAAATTAGCCTGCAATATTTGGTCAAACATGTAATGAACTCACCCCTAACGTGATGGCTGTAACTGCTTCTCTTTGGTGACGTGTGTGATGTTAGCTAGTATTAATGATTTTGAGGGCCTTATACAGGCCATGGGCTGGACATTCTCCACCTGATTGAAATGAACATACCTAGCGCACAAAGCCTGACAGACCAGAGTCCTCAATACGGCCCTGTGATTGAGGCACTCCTGCTGGCTCTCTCCCAAACCCAACAGACCACCATGTTCTGTCACTTCTGCCTTCAAGATACCTTGAATCTGTCCCTTCTTCCCCAACTCCATGACCTCCATCCTAGTCCAGGACCACCTTCTGTCTGAACTGCTGTGATCATTGCCTCTTCACTGGCTGCCCTGCACCTGCATCCTCTCTGCAGCTCCACCTTCTCAATCATCTTTACACAGAAACCAGGCTAAGAGTGTGCAAATGTTCAGCTCACATCCCTCCCTGTCAATACCCTTCAGTGACTTCTGACTGCGCACAGAGCAAAATCCAAGCTCCTCTTGGGAGCCTAAAGACCTGGCATGGTTGGGAAGCATCTCCACCATCTCCAGGTTGTAGCCATGAGCCCTCTCTTCTTTCCCCAACAAATCGGGTTCTTTCCCTTTTAGGTTCCTCGTGTGAGCTGTACCCTTGGCCCAGAAACTCTTGGTACGAGGGGTTCCTTTTCCTCTTCCACATCTCAGTTCAGCTGGACCTCTTGAAAGCCATGCCTGCCTGCCTTTCTCCCTGATGGTCATTCTCACACGCTCATCCTGCTCACCTCTCTCAATCACTAGCTCTAGGCAGCTTTATCCAGGTGCTACCTACTCCGTACAGTGTTCCTCCACCAATGGGCATGTACTGCACCTGTAAACAAATAGTGCGTGAGTGTTGCACAGACCGTGCGAGACCCCTCCGTGAGCTATGTGGGAAAGAATGGTTTTTTTCATTTTCTCTGATTGCACAGTCACCTTCATTCTTACACTCCCGTGCTTTTAAATCTTCCTTAAAGTTACCGAGGAGCGGTTCTGGAAGGGACCTAGGGTCCTGAGAAATAATCTCGGGCTCCGTTACTACTCACTACCCCTTTCACGTACGTGCGGTGCTTCCTTCTGTTGTGATCGGGTCACTGTGGGCCCAGCACTTCGGGACCATGCAGTGGTTTGCTCTGGGTGCAAACCGTGGCTGTGGGTCACAGTCAACTCAATGGCACCTAACAAAAAACAACCAATTTCATGAGAGGTTTCAAATAAAGACCTGTTGTGACCTTTGCCTCCCTGTACTGGTGTCATTCATATTGACAATTTAGTTCTGAAAGGGTGAGGGATATGAAGCAGAAGAGAAATTATCAACACATTAGGACAAAGGGACCTGGGGCTAGAATGGTGAGTCCTGGTGCAGTGTGTCATCTAGTTAACCTGTGACCCCATGTCACCGTGGAGAACTGCCCTCTCGTTTCCAGGTGTTCCAGGATCTTGACAGTCAGGTCTTCGTAGGAGCAGATCACCACATCTTTTCTCCCTTGGAACACCAGCCTGGACCACTGGGCACTTCACTGCTGCACCTGCAGGGCTCCTAGAAGGATCCTCAGCACACAGGGAGCAGTTCCCCATCGACTTCCTTCCCCTCTCTAAATCCTAACTTCCCACCCAATCCTGTTTATTATTGAGCCTCAAGCCCCTAGATTTCCAACGAACTTCCTCACTCGCTTCTTCCCTAGTATTTGCCCACCATGCTGCTCTTCCCCTCTCCAAAGCATGTCAAAGATGACTCCATCCTGTGTCATTTTGTCCACATCTTATATCCTCTGTCCTCCGTTTTCTCTTCTCAGCAGAGCTTCCTGACTAAGAACTGTCTAAGAATAAAACTTCTGCACAAGGCCTCTTTAGAGTATTGAAAAGTTGGCCAGAGGAGGTACACTGGTACAGATAGGAACTGAAAATACAGGGAATCCAGGACGGATGAGCCCTATAGGACCAGTGGTGTGAGTGGCAAAAC